CTACAGTCGAACAAATCGATCCTTTACGATCCATCTCGACCTGTGACACCTGTTACGTAATACATGTTTGTGTATGCAGCATCTTGATCCGAGAGAAAGTGAATGGATTTTAATTTAATAATTGATGTTAATATTATAATTACGTAATATTAAAAATATTTATTGCGTATGTATATTATACATTGATTAAGAACTAAATTAATTTTTTCCACTTTATTTTGATCTTTTTTGGCAAGGTTTCCTTCGAAATCATCCAACTCTAGCTTGTTCTAATTTATCGTGACCTATTGCGTAACTTTGTTTTCGCGATATCTCTGCACGCTTTCATGCATGGCATCATTTTCTCGTTCTGCACAAGACGTGCGAGATTAATAAATACGAATTTTCCAAATGCCATTCTTCAGCATTTGTTTTTGACGCCTTTAGCGCACAATGACCACCGGATTAGCCGGCTAGCAAGTAATTTAGCCTCGCGGCGACGGTACGAAGAGAGAGAGGGTGTCTGCTCATCCTCTACCACGTGAGAAAGTGAAAGCAAAGGCCGTATGCCTCTGAAGACGAGATGAGGCACCGAGACCCGATCGTCCCGGTATTCGATCGTCCTGAAAATCACTCTCCTTCACAGCGATTCTCTTCGACGGCCTTCTCACACTGATCGCTTCTTCTCAATACACTAACCGGTGCACGTGCATCTTCCGTCGAATCCAAATTTTACTTTGTTCATGTATTTCAGTCTTACAATAGAATCCAAAAATTCAATTTCATAATAAAATTAAAAATTCTATGTATTTCTTCTATATCGCAAAAAGAGATTTTACTGAATTTGGCGAAAATTATTAAAATAATATATTCTATTGGTTTGAATGCATACATAGCATACATATACAGATAATCTTCTTTCTGATGACAGCAGACCATATAGGATATCTCGAAAATTCATTAGACACTCTTCTCGCTCATTAATGTGATTGTCATCATGATGACATGACAATCCCCTATTACAACTCTCTCTCTCTCTTTATTAGCAAAGACATATCTGACAATATTATCAATAAAAATCATTCAAAATTTGTACAATGCTACTGCATTAACGTCGATTAACAAATAATGTCCATATTATCATCGAACATTATATAATGTTTATCCTACTTTTCATGTTTATGTGATTAAATATTAATTAACAAGTCGCAAGATAAGGTATTATTAATACTTATTTATATCGGTTCCATATGTTGTTGCGAAAGTAGGATGGTGTCCCGTTTCTCGTTTATAATTGTGCGCAAGAACGTCGCTCGACAAGTGAACCGGAAAGAGGCAGCAATTAAAGCGATTAGTCAGCGATTGATAGTTGAATCGGTTACAATTACTTTCTCAGTCTTATTGTTAAATCATGGCCTCAATTTCAGTCTTAAATTCTTAGATGTACATTGTAGACATTAAATATACATTGTAGACTCAAATTAAACACACACTCACAACGCATTGCTTAAGGGACTGCACATTACAATATATATGTCAGGCATGTTCAAGATTTTGCGCAAACGTCGTTAAAACGGTGGATATGTCATTATGATACGGGAGATAATGACATATATTTTACATGAGATGACATCTTTCTTAATCCAAGTTTTTTAAATAATAGATATAATTTATAGATAGATGACATTACGCGCGCAAAATTAAAAGATTTGCGATCTCGATCGCGAATTATTTTGTATTTCTCCGTTGCGATCGAGAAATGGTGATTTTCGTATTGCTGCTAATTAATTTAAATAATCTATCTCTCTCCGAGAGCATAGTGCACCAGTTGTTCCCGTGGGCGTAATTAACGTATTTGTGGCGAATTAAGCAGGCACTCGAGATCTTAATTACACGTACACGTACGGCGAAGGGGCTGCCCGCGATTATTGTGACATACTGTGCATACTCCGGCGCAACTCCGTGCGAAAAAGAAAATTATCCACTCATCACTGCGATACGCGCCTCTCACTTATATAACGTAGAATCCCGTTTGATAGTTCTGAAGTGACGACCATATACCTCGTTTCCTACTCGCGCTCCTTTCCAACGTCTATATAAATTCCTGCATGCATATTTTTCATACGGTTGATTTTTGCGGCTGAGCGTTTTGTCATTAACAACCATTAATAATCATACTAATAATAAATATTTTATATTAATCCGTTGGAAAGGCCATCTGCACAATTTAAGTCTGGGAAGAGGATGCACAGCGGAATAGTTTGCTCTTCGCGTTACAGAGAATACGCATTAATTTTGCATACGTAACGCGCAATATGATGCATCCGGAAAGGAAATTCTATTCGAACATCATACCGTGAATCATCACTTTTCCTTTGTCAATGCGCCTCTCTACGATAAAATTAACTCTCTCGTGTGGAAACGCGGGCATTCATCTTTCACATAATCTGCTCACTCAACGTAGATTTAGGCTAACTTCTCTGAGACTCTTCTTATAAAACCGAAGGTAAATAAAAAGGAAAATCGAAAGTAAGTAAAAGATCTCGAATAAAAAGAGCCTGTAAAATGAAAATCGACGAGATCGTCAGCTATATGTCGTAATGCAATATGATTCATCTTCAATATAAATCTTTCTTTTTTCTCGAGTTGCGAAATTTCTTTCAATCTGTTTGCAATCGAAGTAATTAAATTATCATTAGCTTGCATTTGGTTTAATCAGCAAAATTCGGTATTTCCTTTTTTAGCACAGGAAACAAATAATTTTTATTCCCCGAAGCTACTGTAAATCGAAGACGATTTATAATCGTAGGTCATGCCGATGCTACACATGAACCCTAGAGAAGACGGCATAACTTTCACTCACGACAGTGTCGCGGGCCTCATGCCCCGGGCACATTGGATACGAGCACATCGACACGACGATCCTCATCCTTACAGGCGCGGGCGCGCACACACAATCGCGCCGGAATGTTGCATAAACGCACGCGCGTGAAGCCGCGGTTCTTACGTGCGTGATACGCGAGCCCGCGCTCGTGAAACGTGGAAGTGCCGACCGATTATACAAGCGATTCCCACATATGCGAGCTATCTCTCCGAAAAGTTCAAGTCAAACGAGATCGAAGTGATCCTTCTCGTTGACTTTTGGAAAATTTAATCGAAAAAAAAAGAAAAGGAAAACAGAAAAGGAGACGAGGGAGAGGAATTAACATATAAGAAAAAACATGATAACATAAAATATGTAAGAACGTGAAAGGATTAAAAATTTGGAGGGGGAGCTCACCGTTCGCAATAAATATAATTTTTTTCGTACTCGTTTTTGTAGTTGCAAGTTTAATTAGGTAAGTCGAGGAAGGAAAGAGGAAGGAGAGAGATTCTCTTGTAGCGTAATTGCAAGGAAATGCAGCTGCGCGCGTACTCATTAACGGGAAAATGGCGTAAGCGTGCCCTTTTTAATTATTCACGTCTCACGTAAAATCCCATGCGCGCATTTGCGCACATACCTACACAGATGCACGCGCGCGATGCATCCCGGGTAAATCGTATCGCTTCTCCTCCGGCACGTACGTTCGCATGAATGCGAACGGGTCTTGCGAAAATCCGTCTTGCACAATTGCTCCCGATCGGACTGTTTCATCTGTTTAAGAGAATCGCTCGTCTTCGATTTCCCTTCGCGGAGGCAGACGCAGCGTCGCGGTCGTTCCGCTCAGCCATGAAGATCGACTCTATTCGCCTCTAATCGATTAAGCTTAAAGACCACAATAATCACGCGGATATATATCATTAAATCGTATAGCGCTTATTACTATGGTCTTGTAACATAAATCGAAAGGGGATTTCTCGAGTTTGCTAAAAGTCACCTCGATCTTAAAGTATATTAAATATATTTTCTAAATAATCGGAGAATAATTTTTTAGATTTAATATAGATATATATATGTAATAATATAGCATTTTTATTTCCGTAAGCTGAACAAAACGTCTATCCCCGAAAGCTGCGCAAAAGAACGAATTTTTCCGCTTTCGTAAAAGCTATTATAACGTCATTCGTGGGAATCAGTCCAGTCTGTGAACGTTACTAAACCCTACGGTCGATTTCTTCACTTCGCGATAATTTCGTTCGCTTAGACTTAGGAGAAGGTGACTTAGCTCGTTCCATTATTTGATACGAAACCGATTTCCCTACTGTAACATTGCAACATTTTGTTTGCAGGGAAAAATTATCTCTTTAAAGATTTTCACAGCGCGTTCGGCTCGTCTCAAAGTTTGTTCAGTTTGAAAATCGTAAAATATATAGAAGTACCATGTATCGCGCGAAGCAATATTGAATATAATCGTTGAAAAATCGACGAAGCAGATAGATGTTAAACACACACAACGTTCTTTGATTTTATACTTTTAGTAGTTTTAGTAGCCACCATAATGGGACAATGATGTGCATAAAGGCTTCTTTCAGTAATTTCGTAATCGCTAGACTCATGTTACGAATGTGTCGTTACTATCTTTGAATCTAGTACAAGGATATCTTGCCCAGTGAAATGAATCCTGTGGTTTTATTTTTAAGGAATCGTATTATTTTTTTTTACGCATTTTTATTCTATATTTTTATTACATATTTGCGACAAATGTAATTTCATCATTAATAATAAACATATATATTTTGTCTCGTTTGATATGAGGATTTCGGAATGACATACATTGTGTATTTAATAGCTAATATGAATTTTCGCAAAAGATTTATAGTAACTGCAGCAATCGCTGTGCAGCAATTAATTGATTAAATTATTTTTTGATCATAACTAATCTGAAATTTCATAACTCTCAGGGATAAATAACTTCGCTTCTCTCACACATTTTCGCTTCTTACATACGATTAGAAATTACCGTTATGCATTAAATCTTTCCTGCTAAATTTCTATTGTACGTGACACATTGTAGGCGTTTACACGCACGTTTTCCTCGTTTATTAGCACCGATAACGGAATAGCGAATGGCATCAGATATCTTGTTACTTAACTTTTCGCATTCCTCGCTTTACATAATGAATATCTGTATAACGTGTTTGTGTTACATTTCAAAAGTTTGGCTATTAATTTTCTCTTCTGGACCTATCCCTGTTACCACTCGATGAAAGCCATCTCTAATCGCAGGAGAGAATATCACAAGCGTGTAGTGTCTTTTCATTTTTGCCGGCGCCTTTCGGAGGTGCGACGACACGAAAAATTTACATAGAATCTGCATGATAGGACTTTCTCCTGCGGGTTATCTGTAAGAAACATCTTTAGGTGCGTTACATCGTGCGTACGCCTCTTATGTGCGTCTTGGCATAAACATGTCTTAATGGGGGCCATCTTTTTAATCATATTCCGTCCCTCTCTCACTGTGGTACCCTGACCCACAACTTGACACATTTACGTTCGAAGCTGGCTTTCGCAATTTCCATAAATAAAAAATATATATAATACATCTTTTATTAAAAACGACGAATATTACATGTTTCATATCTATTCCTGTCTTTTATTACATGAAGTATAAAGTTTCTTATTAAAATCCAATTTATTTTATTATTCTCATTTTTGTGCTCGAGATTGCGCTTCGGGTGTCGATACTTTCGATTTCCAAGGTGCCGATGCAGGAAGCATCGAACTATTGGGAAGAAAGTTTTAATTAATTATACAAGGGTTAATTGGTACTGGAAGAAGCATACGGTTGCCTATTTTTAGAAGGCAAACTTCTCAAAGGTGCTTCTCGTGGGAGGCTGTACTGAGTCTCACAGTAGGGAACAATCATTTTATTATGTCGTTATCTATACGTACCCTCTCTCGACTCCCGGCTAATTGTTAGCAACTCAACTCAGTTAGTTTAGTTCAACATTTCTCGATCTTTTTTTTTCTTTGGTATCATTTCCGTGCCTCGCATTATAATCACTGGTTGAAAGAAAGGCGTGTGAATAAGGCTCGTTCAAAAATTTATGCATTTATAAAACGTTCCATTTTTATCCTCTATAAAAAGTGCCGTGATTATCTACGTTGAAAATTATTATTATTATAGTCTAATGTACTGGCATAACTGTGTCATTGTACAAGGTATTTTCTTCTTTTTATTCACACGCGAAAGAATCTACCTGAGCCCTGACGATCCGGAAGTGACAAAGATTGCGCAAAAACAAGAGCCGGCGAAGATATACGATCGGACTACCGTAAACGTGTTATGTTATGATTGTTTATTTGGCTACCATGGCATTACTGCATTTTTCCTTGCAACGGTGATGTAATGCAAACACTTGTACCGTTACACTCAAGCTGCGTGCATTCATCTTACGTTGTCTTTCGAAGTTGTTCTTTTTAATGCCGTAATTGTATATTTATGGCATTCGATAACACGTAATCTTCCGTGTTATGCCATTCTATTTAATTAATGACACTACATTGTCTGAATTTGTGCGATAAAAAGAGCTTATATTATAGAAGAAATCTATCATTTTCTTATTGGAATAAAATTACTCGTCGTACGCCAAACGTCACGATTACAACTCAAGTCACGTCTTTATTTGCGACCTATTAACTCATTCGTCGTATCATTTTCTCGGCGAAAATTTGCATGTACAGCGTAAAGTTCACTTTGCGCGCGTAATAAAAATTTTAATTCTCCCACAATCGCACGGGCTATGAATTACTTCCATAATTATTATTCTCGTACGGTGTTAGCGATAAATTATGCACCGTTATCGAGCCTGTGTAATAGAAACATATAATTACGAGCGGACAACGCGCGTATAAAATCTATTATAAATATTAGTTCTATTAACAGATGACAATTTTATTCTCGGCTTCACTATCTATTTTAGTAGCGACAATGACCATAATACTTCGTAGTATTACGCTCTCGAGATTAAATTATTAATAAGCCATTTACAGATCCGCATTCAAACACAGTGATTTACTTTAATCGAGCATAAATAAAGTCTCGATGATCCTCAACAGCGCTCGCGTACTGCGTCGTAAACCGATTAGAAAGGGTAAAAAAAACTCACCTACCTTCGCGATTTTGTTTCATTCACATCGTCCGGATGAACGCCGTGGTCCTTGAGTGCATAACCTTTGGATGAAGTCACTAAGCATCTCGTTCCCCATCCTGCAGACCATTTAAATGCCATGCGAGTAATCGCATCGCTTCGTGATATATTCATTGATATACGATACTACCATCTCGCGCGAAGCCAACATCTACATTCTACACATTATTAGGAGACGTGCAATTAAACGCGCAATTAACGTGACGATTTTTGTTATAAAAAAAAATCGTATTTCGCGAGAAAAATCGTAAACGTAGAATGGGTAAATAAAAATTAACGAATTAAGTAACGAAAACTTTTGAGATACATGGACCTGTGTTTTTACATTACTGCTATTTCTATTATTTACATAGTGTTTAGAATACGTTCCGTCAGTAAAAGCAATATATTGTTGCGAGCCCTATGAAACAAACGCAATTTCCGGTATCGACGAACTTTTGAAATCCTTCATGAAGGTAGATATCGCTTTTCGCATATCCCATTGAGCTAACGTCAGATAAGTCTTGGACCATTCCTTATTCATCGTGGTGATCTGCCGCATTCTGGTAATCAACACCGATCTCTCACTCTGACTGAAGCAAACCGGCTCGATTTCGTGTAAAGCATATTTAACTACTATTTTATCGGGTGTTATGTTTTCAGGTGCTGCGAATATGTGATACTGATCGTTTAAAATGTGATATTCGTTGTCGAGGGAGGCCACCAAGACGAATGTTCTGGAGAATGATAGTATGTTTGTGCCGGAACTTAGTTTCTTGAACAATCCACTGACACTGAACACTATGCATTTGTCGTTGTCGTACATGATGTCGTATGTGAAGGAACTACTGTCGTGGTAGGACCGGGGCAATTTGCCGAAAGCTGCCAGAATGTCCTCTTGGCCGTAGTAGAGGCTCGCATTTTTCTTATCTTTTTTGACTTTCCTCTTTAGATTTCTATTTAACGTGTATTGGTTGAGGCCAGTCACTTGCGCGATGTTATGGGGTATGGCGAAGCTCATGGAATAAAACGCGTCCTTGTGATAGAGCCCTCGTAGACCCGTTCGGTCGAGCTGATCGTACAAAGAAAAGAAGTGAGAAATAAATTTATGTGCGAAATCCTGAGTCTTGTCGTCCGGAAAATAGTCCCTGTATATCATCGGCATGTTTTCCGCAATGTACACGCCGTCTAACTCTTGCAGGTACGGGCAATATTTCTTTGCAGACTCTACGTATTGCTTCGCAGTCGAATAATTTTCGCAAAGAGGATTATCGTCGAGCCAGAGTCTGACGATCTCCAGATTTTTTAGGGGGGCTAACGCGCTCATGTTTAACAGATTGTTGTGCCTCAGGTCCAGGTACTTGATGGATTTTAAACCCGAATTCTCTATCGCCGATATGTTGAACAATTCATTGTGCTGCAAATTCAGACGCTCGAAGGTGGCTATCGCGGTTTTGGCCAGCTTTAAAACGTGATTGGAAGTTCTGAGCTGTGACAGCCGACAATAGACGTTCTTCTCTATATCCGGATCTGTGTGGAAACTCTCCAGGTTTAATGTCTTCTCGTTCGGATCGTATCTCTTGGTTAGCGCAGTCAACAGGAGTGGTTGTATATGAACCTGCAGCTCGTGGATCGAAGAGAATCCTAAGGTTACCACGAGAACGAGACCGTCGCCCTTATCATTTCTGACGATCATATTCAGCTTGCACAGCATTTCCAACGCGGGGCCGCAATTTCTCGCTACAAAATAGGCGTCTTCTCCACAAACCTGATACTTCACCGGTATCAAATCGGCCGGCTCGATCGCTCTCAAAATAGCTTTCAAGACTGTATCCTTGTCGAATCGACCGCCGTTATTGACTTTGATTTTGTGCCATAGATCCGAGCGATACATCAGTCCTCTCTCGTGAGGCAGTTTTGCGCCCATAACTATTCTTATAGCGATTGCCTCATCCAGTATCATAGGAACAACTGGTGCAGTCGGCACCTTTACGTTTGCCTGCTGCATCATTTGCTGCATCGCCTCGTATTATATTCGCCTGTCTCGACTTCCTTAAGAAGCCTCCAATTGTTCCTTCTCTTATTTAATTCTTCTTGATTATTTTTTAATTAACTATACTTTCTCTCTGTTTCGACAACTTTTTCAATGTTTACATATCTTCGAGGTTATGTCCCCCTGGAAAGATTATTACGAATAAATCTATTGACACGGCTATCGTCACACATCTTAATTGAGAAAATATTCAGACGTTATAAGATAATTATACATTATTAATACAGAAAATACAAAAAACGTTGAAAATACCTACGAGACTTTTATCTTTCTTGCCGATATCGCTTCTTTTTTT